AGTACAGCTCAAAAATAATTATTTTCTATGGTGTAAAAATCTACAGTGTAGCTTTTCCAGATTTAGAAGGATTTTTAAAAAATCGTAAGAAAGATATACGGAATTGGAAGTGTGGAATAGGCCTTGAGCTGTGTAGTTTTCCAATTGTGGATCATGAAGTCGCGTTCTTCGCTCCACTTACTGTTCGTCATCCAGTTATCTCGAACCCATGCGGTACCCTAAATAGTACATTCGTTGTTTCCCAATTTTTTTTTGGACCTGTGGACCATCCAAGGCCGAGACTAGAGGTGATGTAACTTATTTTAACGAAGAAAATGTATATTTTGTTTGGAAAGTTGTCATGTGAGATCTAGTGAATGGAAAGGCGTTAGAATAGGATAAGAATATTAGCAACTATGAGTGATGAAGATTGCTAATAAGATATTCTGTTTTCGCCAAATTCATGAAAAACAACGAAGCAGTGGTATTCAGTGAATCAGAATTGATGAAAGTCCCAACTAGAAAAGCTAGCTGGTCATCACTCTCAGTGCTTCATAGCAGTACTAAGCAACAACAAGTAGAATGGAGAGGTAATGAACACGAAGAAATTAGTAAAGAAAGCAAAAACAGCTAGTTCTGTTTGCACAGCTCCTTGATCCTATAGCTTCACTGTTTAGTGAAGTTGATTCACAGCTTCATACAACGCTGTTTGCATAATGGTCAACACAACCACTCATGGAAGCAGAATTACTGAGGAGGTTACAAAAGCATGCGTGTCTGAATTACGACATAGATGTAGGATTGTCGACATCGATGAGGCAAGGAAAAGACTACGTTGAAGAATATCAGCTCAATCCAGAGTAACCTAACATTGTATATAAAAGCCAGAACAACTTATCGATGAATATCATCTTTACCAAGAATAGTTTAACAAAAATTGGGTCACGTTTAGCTTAATGGTTGGAGATGCCTTGCAATATACATGGAGTCATCTGTTCAATTCCACAAGTGTTAGCGGAACCTACACGCATACCCGAACAGCTTCGTGGATGGAGTACGCAAGACAACGAATCGAGTGAAAGAAGTGCTGGGATGTAATTGCTTATTTTACACCGCCTAACATCACATGTTGTGAGGTTCCCATTGCACTCGGTTTTTTTCATTTTTGAAGTCTCTTGTGGAGGTGTGTTTGCCGCTAAAGGATTTTGGTTTTCCTTATGAATGTCGTTCAATCGCAGTCGAATCGATTCTTTCTGGAATCCTAGGATAGCCGGACCTATACTCTTTAGTTCTCGGATCTTCCTCACAGGCAGTAGTCAGCTATTGTGGATTAGAGGTACTAGGCGTCTGATCCCAAACAAGTTCAGTGCCAATTTTCCGACGCCCGAAGGAAGAGTGGCTCGGTGAGCCCTGTGCGGCATCAACGTGTCTTGCTCGCACTGAACGACATCACCACCAATTCAGTACTGGCCATTTTCGAGAAAATATACCTGCACGTTTGAAAGTGAAAGTTAGATTTTATTTGATTCCTTTCCCTAGCTTAAATTATAGCTCTAACTGTCCATCCTGCAACCCGAAGAACTTATCTCTCTCCAAATATAAAAAGAGTCACTGACTTGTCGACAACATACTCGAAAATCAAAATCATCTTGGTAAATGAAGTTACTATAATTGATGAATGGCCACTCGGAATTTCTAATAAAGGCTAAGAATAAAGCGTTCGGCGTTGATCAGTACCTCAGAGATGCGTCTTGCGTGAGACTTCATCAAATATCGTATAGGTGACTGAGTGCATATCTGGCCTATAGAACGTGTGATGCCTTACGAGTGTGTCAAGTGGGTGTTGCTCCTCTATGAGACAAGTTTGGTAACATTTTGCTGACTCCGAAAAGATAGAGGGCTTTGTGAGCCCGGTGCTCGGGATCCAATTAACGACCATGTGTCTATTCCACGGCACCTCCAATCGCGACATATCCTTACGACTGCTGTATTAGTGTACAAATAGGAAACTTTAGTGCACAAACTGGTAGAATATCAGAAAATTTCAATTCTGTTCAAACGAAGGTGAAGTAATGTAATTCGAAGAAATTTTGTTAATCCAATAATTAGCAATAACCACATAGCTTTAATTGTTCAACGGAACAGGTATTGGAAAAATTATGGTGCATTCAGTAGTGGTACATTATATCTAATATCAGAATTCTAATACAATTTTATTATTCCTCCCAACGGTTTACCGCTTCGTCGTGGCTGTAAGGTGTTCCTGGGTGTCGGGCTGTGATGTACAGCGGGGGGATTCATCCCTCTGGCAAGGTCTCCCAAGCTGAAAAGGAGTCCGGCGTTACCATCAGGAGTCTGAGCTAAAAGTAAACCAATACCAAGATCCACCAACGTCCTGGTATCAAACTAATCGCGCGGTGGCAAATCTCCTTCTGATCCATAAGGGGACGTCTACCTATGGTGGTGGAGATCTGGGCAGACTTTGTCCAGGTTGACTTCGGGACTCCAGGGAACCGCAATGACTAGACCAAAGAACTCCAAAGAATGGAAATTTTGCTGGGGCAGGCAAAACCAGTGAAGACGGGCCATCCAGGTATCCAAGTAAGTAGGTAATATCAGAATTTTAACTTTCCATTTACCGCTTACTAATTTTTCACGGCGGATGTTATGTGAGATATAATTACAGTGGTGCTAAGATTTTTGCAGACTTCAGGACCACAGACACCTGCAAATATCTGCAAGTGTCTCAGCACTATTGTGGTTCTAACAGCAGACTTTAGTTCGTTAAAGGTTGGTAAAAAGCCATAGACTTGCAAATTGTATTCAAATAAATGGATACCTTCGGAAGAATTTTAATCTTCCCAAGTAGAGTGCTGTTTCCTAGCGCAGTTCGAATGCACGCTTCATATAGGAAAAGATCATCGTATCCTTTCGAATGATTGTAAATGTCCATGCAAATGGGCACAATCTCATGATTGTGAGGTAGCGCATACTCTGCTAGGTACGCCTGAAAAGCTATAGTGGAATTAAAACTTTTCTCCTTTTCTCGAACTCACTCATCTGTAACGCTGAGTGGTCGACGGCTCGTTAGTTACGAGGACAAGTAGCGCATCCCTAAGACTAGGTGGGAGATAACGATTTAAACGCGAACCTAAAGCGACCACGCACCTGTCATAAGACGAGAGCGAGTTTACTTGTCTTAACTACTTCAGCTTTGCCAGAATGACACTATACTCTCGATTTGTAGCCAGACATATTCGTGCGTGCATGGATGTATTTGAGTGCACAGAACTGTCCTGCCCATCGATTCAGCCCGAAGACTATTTAAATGAGTGGGAACTGCAGATATAGTGCGTTAAACTGCCATTCAAGAAATAGGTTTCAAATCCATAAAATGGTAGGAAGCCATTAGGAGGGCCAATGACCAAATCTCAAGGTGGTTCTAAGCTGCTTAGGATTATTCTAAAAGCCTAGCTGAGTGATTTTGAAAAATAAACCTGGGAAGGATTCCAAGAAAACATCTAAAAAACACATCAGGACATATGTATAATAATCGAACGAGTATGCTGAGTTGCTGCATAAGCTTATTATGATGAAAATTACAACTCGCGAAACTCGTAACTGCACTCAAAGCTGGAAACGCCGTTCCAGAGGCCCCGATGTTAAAGTTGGAATTCTCTTGTATGTATCTCGAGATGACCACGGCAACATTTTGCCTATCCGATTCCGCTGTTCTTCCAAAGCTGAAAAAGCTTTTTTCACAGAGAGGAGTAGAAGTCGTAAAATTGAACTGAAGAAAAATTTCCAAATACACTGCATCACATTCAGCGTCACATACCTAAGGTTAGATGAAAGTGCAATGAACAATGAATGGCGATGCGTCCAAAAGTTATGCTATGCATTCATGTCAAAAAATAAAAAGAACTGTCAAGAAGGAAAATGTATGCGAGGTATTGCTCCATGCTTTGCATCCAAAACACTAGAACGTCTATCCATTTTATAATAAGCATATCGAGGAAGACCTTCTGGACTGACTTGCTTGTCAGTACACTTTAAAACAGTGCTAATTGTGACCACCTCCTCAAGCAATTTTCAGGTGGTATCCCACATAATTAACCTCAGCAAGAAGCGACAAGTTACAAACTACCAAAATCTAAGACGTTCTGCGCCTAATATAAATATGAGCAACACCCATTGGAGATGATTTCCAGAAAACTGCACCCGTGGAGAATGAAAAAAGGATTTCCAGGTGAGCCCAGTAATGGACAGGTTTGAAGAACTCGTGTTAGCTCCTTCATGAACACGTTGTTCTATTAATTCTCAGCTGGAAGAAGATTTGGTTGCTATAAATTTTCGCATAATGATGATCTATTAAAAACCTATTAAATGAGGAGAATTCCTAATTCGGACCCATTTTCTTCGGTAACTCTCATAATGTAACCGATGGACAAGAGCCGCTAGTGACTGGATTCCTCGGGATGTCAAACACACTGCAGGAAGATCACCAACCCAATGGTCAGAGTTCTTCACGAAAAGCCTAGAAGAAAGATATGATGCTCGGCGAATCCCTAGAGCGAGCAGAACCCACTGAGCCACTTTTGCATGCGACAGGGAAAAGTGGAAGATTTACTGGTACGCGCTCGAGTTACTCGACGATCAACGGGACTGCAGTTGACACGTGAAAGGTAATCTTCGTAATGGAACCTAAAACTCTTGAAGAAAAGCCATCTGAATTTCCCACTTTGAGATGCAGGACTAAGGTACTGAACACGTTGAACTGAGCATAGGAAGAGGCGCAAATATTCATGGGACAACATAATCACCAATTTATGAATAAGCTTATCTCCTCACTGTGCCCGTGTGATCGTACATATCGAACTGTTTAAGTGAAAACCAACAACATGAGAGCCTGAACAAAGCACTTCCACAGTCGTAAGGGCGAGAAGTGCAGACAAACATCACGGACACTTTCTCATGAAATTGACTCTGTGAAGACAACCTTCCATCAATGAAATAGGCATTCATTTTGCACCAATTCGAATAGTATATTTTGATGGCATATGAAAATGGGGAAACAGTGAAATACCGACATGTATAGCTCCGTTGTCCATCCCGTGAAAGCTTTTCGGTAACCGAAACTCGTAATCGGCGAAACCTATGAAGAATTGCAGTACATTAACACAGCCAGTGTACAATTTTTTCAAAGTTATGCTTTTGCTTCACTGAAGTATAAGCTGAAAGGAATCACCTTGAAGAAACGTTCGCGACCAGTTCGAATTCTTGATTAGATACGATCCAGCCATAACTTCCCAATTATAAAAGCGATCATAAAAAATAACCTCAGCGTTCTCATCGAGAAATTCCTCGATTCGCCTGAAGGATTTCACGCTTTTCTTTAGAAAGAATTTCGTTTCACTATACACAATGTGGTTATTTTCATGCGTTTTTCAAAGGATTGTTTGATTTTCGCAGAAAGATTGTCGTAGACGTCTAAAATACAAATCACAGGAATTCCTATTCACTTTTTCTGCCCTATTGTTTATTTAAGGCTAATTATTTTGTGCGTTATTTAGTTTTTTTTCACGGTGCGTATGGCGCAGTGGTCGGAGGCGCCCTGCAACTCACAAGTGGAATCGATCCTTGCGCCCACGGCCCACCAAGCCTTCCATCCCTCCGGAGTCGGTAAATTGAACTAGAGTTGTCTGGGAAGATAGCAACACTGGCTGGATATATCGATAGGCCACCGTGAGTCATTGTAAAGGCCAGATATGGATTCAATCACCTCCAACGGTACTTAATGAAGTCGAATGCATGGAGCATCTCTTAGGCATTGATCAACGCCAAGAGCTTTATCCTTTATCCTTCTATTTAGCTTCTTCATAGTCGACCTTGCTTTACTAATGGAAAGGTCAGTGTATGTGTTGTAAACTAAACGATTCGACACCGAGTTTCATTCGTCAGAAATCGCTTACAATGATCATATTTTGAAACAAACTTGAAGCTGTCTCGCTCAATGCCGCTGGATAGTGGCACTAAGTTATAAGCATTCAGCTTCTTGCGAACCTTCTGAAAAATCCTATTCCAGTTCCTCTAATCGCTTGTTGCAATGTTTTTCGCAGAAAATAGAGGATCGTATCATTCTCAACTGAAAATCGTCGAGAAGTCTACGCGCGCGTTAGCGATTTTCTTCAATTTTGGCCAAACAGCAGTGCACATTTAGTAGTTTTTTCTAAATAAAAAATGGTGTAGGATTTTCTTAACCTCCAGTTTTTCTATTTCTAAGGAACAAGGTTCTGAACTGCAATGAATGAGGTAACCTTTTTGGATTCACTACTCCCATATCCGAATCCAAGAACAAGATGTAGTCCAAATGGGAGGATTCCTTCATGTAATGCGTAACGGCGCAGTGGCGTTTAAAATAAAACTGAAAATGTAGTTCATTCACTATCGGTAAATCTGGATCACTTCCACCTCCAATGCTATTTGCTTGCTGTTTTTAGAATCCAATACTTTAGTACTTTACTACACCATACTTTAGACTTTAATGCGTTGAAAGGATGAAAACACTCACATCGGTATGAGGACAAGTGCTGTTGTATTTGCTATGATTTAGAAACCGAAATTCATAGTTTTGAACCATGGAGTAACATAGCACACTCTCTGAAATTCAACTGATCGATGGCAGTGGGAGACTGAGGGAAACGTGAAGGCTGGTGATTTGCATTCGAGAGCCATATAGTTGAGAACGCGAATTGTAACTACCACTTTCCTTACACCATGAAAACAAAAGCGTTGTATTTCTTGGACCGTCTCATGCAAGGCCTTAGACGAAATAACCCAGCCTCGCTGAGCGTTTGATTTAAGCCTTGGAAAGCGTTAGAATAAAAGAACAACAGCATCTTACTCAATGGGATGGCAACAATTTGAACAGTGACGAACGTCATGAGAAGATAACATGATGGAGAAAAACAGGAGAAACTTGCGTAATGCGTCTCGATATTGCGTCAGATTTCCCGCAGCCGCTTCAAGAATTCCGATACGGTAGGTGGATTTCCTGCAAAGTACTATGATTAATGATTAGAGTAATTGTAATATAATAATTAATACTATAATAATATTACTATAATATTGAATATAACCCTCCCAATGGTTAACCGCCTCATCGTGGTTGGGAGGCGTTCCTGGGTGTCGGACTGCGATGTACAGCGGGGTATTCATCCTCTGGCAAGGTCTCCCAACCAGAGGAGTCCGGCGTTTCCATCAGGAAGCCTAGCTAAGAGTAAACCAATACCAGGATCCACCACTATCCTGGTATCAGATTAGTCACAAGGTGGCAAATCCTCTGATCCACAAGGGCTAGAACTGCCCGTGGTAGTGAAGACCTGGAGGAGATTTTGGTCAGGCTTACCTCGAGATTCCAGGGAACCAAAATGGCTTCACCAGCGAGTCTCCGAAAAAATGGAGAATATGCCGGACCCGCACAAGCAGTGAGGATGGGTTATTCAAGCACCAAGTATCAAGTATTTAATGTAATAATATATATGTAATAATATTGTAATATCTATCAATATTATAATTAATTATTATTAATTAACAATTAGTTAATTATTCATTAATTAGTAATTATTTAATCAAATGTTAATCTAGTTAACTAAATTAATGAATTAATTGTTACCTTAACTGATTAACCTAATTAATTAATCATTAATTTAACTAATTGAATTGATCAAATAACTATTAATTAAATTAATTTAGGACCCGGATAGTGTAGTGGTGAAGTGCGCTGCTCCCCGGTAAGGACAACAGCGCGTGTTCGTTCTCCATTGCATACACCTGTGGTCCGGAGTTTTGCAAATATCTCAGCATTTCATATAAATTAATTTAATTAATTAATTCATTATTAATCTAATTGAGTGAATTGATTAGTTAATCAATTAATTATAGTCGTCGATGAAGCCTTTACTTCCTTTGCAATAAAAAGTTCTTCAGTTGAACCGCTGCTTATGGAAATGATTATCGTTTCTCAATGCATGGGAAAAGTTCTGTAGTTGTAATTCTCATGAGACAATTACTGTAGAGACTATTCTCTAGCGCGTAGAAAATGATCTCCATTTCCTCTACCTAGCGATATTTTCCTCCCACTCCAAGCAAGAGTGGGATCACTCTGTTCACATACGCTGTGTTCTTCCTGCTCCTCCATTCTGCGAAGCAAGCTCCAGTCAGTGAGCTTTCTCTTCATATAATCAGCATTTGTGCAAGAGGTCTTTCTCCTCATAGTGTACAGTGAATATGTTTGGGCTCAGTGGCCGCTTGAAGATTTTCCCTCTTTGTCACAAATCTTGGTGAATGTTGTTCGAGTCGTACCTTCTTGGATTCCTCAGATGTCTCTGCTAAGCATTTTCACGTAAATTAGAAAGAGAGAGCTTGCCCCAAACAAGTGTTGCACCAACTGCCTCATCCATGAGGGACAAGAGGATTGGTGGGTCGGAATCGGGATCGAGAAGGTTGATTCGTTGGCGTAATGAACGCAATCTCTATACCTGTGATATGCGCTCCTTTGTAGATTAATAAGAGACTTGTTTTGTAGTCCGGTGTAGTCCGAAATACGATGGTGTGTAAAGCAACACGCATTACAACTAAAGGGATGTGTTAGCTAAACAGTTCGGTCCCAAGGACCTCAACTTGAACCGAAATTGGTTCCACACCTTATATTTGACACCTTCTCCTTGCTACACCAGTTCGATTTTCCATGACAGATTTTTCTTCATGAGTGCTAAACTCTGATAAACTAAGATAAAAGGACAAAGCTGTGGAAGTTGATCGATCCATGAGGGACGCGCCATGCATCGCCAGAGGTGAATGAATACATATCTGGCATTTATAATAAATAGTTGTGGCCTACCGACGTATCGAATCAGTGCTGCTGTCGCCTCGGGCAAGTCTGGTACCAATTTGCCGATCTCGGAGGGATGGAAAGCCTGGTGAGCCTGAGGTGCTGGATCGATCCCTTGTGGCGCCTCTAAGCAGTACGGTGCATCCGCCCCTTATCACTCTGATGCATAGCATCACCTGAATCGCCTGTAGACCCGTTGATGGTCGAGTGACTCGGGCGGGTGCCAGTAAATCTTCCATTTTTCCCTGTCGCGTGCAAAAGCAGTCCAGTGGGCTCTGCTCGCTCTAGGGACTCGTCGAGCATAATATCATTATTCAAGACTCTTTGTGAAGAACTCTGACCATCGCGTTCTTTGTGAAGAACTCTGACCATCGCGTCGGTGGTCTTCCTGCAGCACATTTGACACCAATCACTAACGGCTCTTGTCCATCAGTTGTCGTTCATACGCATTACGTGTCCGGTCCACCTTATCTTCGACTGCTTAACGTACAGAACGGCATCGTTGATTTTTGATCGTTAAAGCAGATCGGAGCTTCGGTTCCCATTCCTTACTTGTGTGGAACGGGATGCTCCTAGCATCGCCCTTTCGACTGCGCGTTCGATAACGCTAAGTGACCTTTCATCCTGCTTACGCAGCGACCACGTTTCTGACGCATAAGTAAGGGCAGGAAGTACCATCGAGTCGAAAAGGTGGGCACGGAGTCGACTGTTCTTTGTTCTATTCACTACACCCTCGATGCTCTTGAAAGCTCCCAAAGCCGCTCGTTTCCTTCTGCTCATCTCTGGAGCTAAGTTTTAATCATGTTAATTTCCTGACCTAGATAGACATAACTGGAGCATTCGGAGATATTAGTTCCATTGAGCGTGGACGGGGCATGCGAATTCAATCCGTTCTTCATGAACATCGTTTTTGTGAGATTTAGTCGAAGGCCAATCTTTCCACAGGCTTTATCAAAGTCGACAAGCATTCGATCCGCGTGGCTAATGTTTGGTGTTATAAAGACGATGTCATCAGCAAAGCGAAGATGGTGTAACTGCCGACCGCCGATTTTCACCCCCATATTATCCCATTCCAATCTTCGCATGACGTTCTGGAGGATGGCGGTAAATAATTTTGGCGCGATGATATCGCCTTGCCTAACTCCACTTTTGACGTCAATGTTAATATCGTTGTAGAATGATGATATCTTAGTGGAGAAATTTTTGTGCATCTCACGAAAATCTTTATGTACTGAGTAGGGACTCGTTGACTACCAAGGGCTTCCATGACTGCTTCTATCTCAATTGAATCAAAGGCCTTCTGTAAGTCGATGAAATTGGGACAGAGCGGTCTCTTGTACTCTCGCGATACTTCAGTGAGCCGTGTTATCGTGTGGATGTGGTTCATCGCACTAAATCCTTTTCGAAACCGTGCTTTCTCACACGACTGCCCTTCGTCCAGTGTTCTACCAGTCCTGTTTAGAATGACTCGAGTGAAAAGTTCGTAGGCTGCAGACAGCAAGTAGATTGGGCGATAGTTGCCGATATCGTGCAGGTCACACCCTTCTTGAACAATAACACAGTCTTGCTGGCTTTCCACTGAATAGGGGCCCTGGATTCAGACAGGTAACGTGTGAAGAGCCGAGCCAGTGTGTTTGCGAGGACTGGCGGAAGGTTCTTTTCTCTAGGTGTTCTGATCTTATCCTGTCCGAACCTGGTGCTGTTCGATTTTTCACCGACGAAATGGCATCTCGGAATTCGGAAGGGAGAATCGGTGGTACAATATATCCATCCTCCTTTATTTCATATGACGGAAGGTGGACGTAGCAATTGAATCTGAGTAGTATTCTTGAATGATTTTCTCCATTGTCTTTCTGGACGCTGTAACTGTTCTGTCTGGGAGTCGAAGTGCAGTCATCTTGGTCTTGTAATTGGCGAAGCTTCAGTGGGCTTTGCGAATGCTTTTCCCAGTCTCTGCAGCTTCGACCATCACTACTGCTCTTCTCTCTTTAAGATCTTCTTTTATAGCCTGTCTGCATTGTTTTGCAAGTTTGGACGTTAGTTCGCGGTTGCAGGTTTCAGCTCGTGCGATTCCATAGTGGCGTATCAGCTCAAGTGTTTCTGGAAGCAAACGTCTCTTGGTGACTTTCGAACTCTCAGCTTTCATAGCCTCTAACGAAAGATGTTGAATGAGACGATTATATTCTTCGTCGATGTTATCGACAACGGCATCTTCCCAACAGTCGACTAATAAATTGGATAAGCTCTAGATAAGAATGAGGACCGTTTTTTTTAAACTGTGTTTAGCATTTTGATACCCATGTATAGCTTGCTCTAGGGGCATTCTGGATTAGTTCCAAGAATCCAAAAATAAACCGCAGGAAGGAGTGCCTCATTATCATGCGTGGTATTGGGCAGTACATAAGCCTGTTATTTTGGTGAAATGAGCACAATACGATTCCGCGTGAACTCTGTGCGGTTGGTCTCCACGTAACATATTTAGTGGAAGACTCATA